GTAGATTCCATTGTAGATGCCCTTTTCCAAGCTCAGTCTGAGCAGTCTGAGCGGCTTTGATCCTCCAACCGACCGACCTCGTCACCAAGGTCGCCCTTCGCAGAAGTGGCCTTCGGCGCCGCCATCTACTGGACCGTGCGTGCAGCGGTGCCACCGCTCAGACGGAGCCACGAGAGAAAAAACGGACGGACGCGGGGGGCAGACCCAAGGGGGACTCGGGGACTCGGTTTGTTTGCAGACATCATGGAGAGGCTCTGGATCTCAGACATAATCCTTTTCCCGATCCTTTTGAGTCTTGACATGTGAGGGGTCCAATTTTTTCAGGTGAGAAGATGACCTGATCAATCAGCCAGATCAGAACAGGTTTTGCTTCAGTGAATCCTTCATAATCCTTCTAGAGTTGGGTTGGTAGTAGCGTAGCTGCCCCAAGATACGCAGCCAGTTGGGCAAAATTGGATCAGTGCAACGGTGCTGTACGGTCCTATTCTGTAGCTACATGGCACTATTCGGTAGCTTGTCGTACTGGTTGAACTCCGATCTCGGCCATTTTCTGTCGAATACGAGAACATGTCCCTATCCATGTCAATGACCAGAAATGTAACACGCTGCGTTGTGGGAATGGGGTGTCCATTGGCAGGGGGAAGCAGGGGGAAGTTGGCGAATGTTGATGTGACAGCATCACAGTTTGACATCGGTTATATTATATACTTGTGCGCATTCTATTGATTGAAAGGACATATGACTCATATGACACATTGATGATGTCGATGTGAAGCACAATTCATTTGATATCACATACCACCTGCACATGTTTTGAACATATGTGTGCTATGACAATTGTTCTGTACATTGGTCCAGGTGTTCCCATTACAATTAGATCGGATGGGGTATTTGCACTGACCTGGATCAGCTTTTAGATCCAGAGCCAAGCGGTCTGCTCTCCCAGGTGCATGCATGGGTCTGGAGCCCGAGTGCCTTTTTGCAGAATCATACAAGGAGAGGCCTTAAAGCACCAGTCTGCAACATATAAACATTATACAATATATAGCAAGACAATATTACACACATATACATATATATATATATTATATCAAATTATTCAATATGTTCAGGTCGCAGAAATGATCCTATGACAAGGTGTTACACACAGTTTGTGTGCTTTTCGTTGCCATTTCACCGCAGCTTGTTGACCCCGGCTCCGCCAGGTCTCTGCCACCGATAGTTTTGCGCTTCGTGACGACCTGTTTCAGGCGGGTGCCGGGAAGGGGAAGCGGGAAGGGGAAGCAACACACCCCCTCCGCGCGGATTGTGGATGTTGGTCATGGAAAGCCCAGTTCAACCCATGTTTGCCCTCGAATGCTTGTGATGGATACTCGACTTCTTTCATGTGAAAGCTTCTCAAGAGTGTGTGTGAGGCTCCTTTGGCTTTCGCACTACATATGTAGATTCACAGTGATGCAGAGATTGGCATGGAAGGAGTGGCAATTCGTTCCTTTTTTTGGAGGATCTACTTACTTGTGCAGTTTTGAGTTCCCAGTGAATCTAGCAGTTCAGATGACGAGGCTTTGTAGCTAGCCTACTGTAGCCTGTCGGCTTCCGTTGCTTTGGAACCTGTTTGGCTCCCCTCGGCCACACCCCAAAATAGACGTGGTGTGTTGCAGAGGCCGGGTGCTAGTGACACTGGCTAGCATCTCTCTCTCTCGAGGTGTCACTTGGTGCACAATGGTTATATACATGGTTGCATGTACTTATATATATATATATACATACATACCTGTTTTTGCATCACCCTGACCCTGGCACATGCTTTTTTTTTTCCCACCGTGCACTACAAAGTTAGCAGTTTGTTGTCGAGTCGTGGCTTCCCACAGCCCTCTGGCCCTGAAGGATATGGCTGTCGCTCACACCTACAAAAACTCCATTCGACCGTGGATAACGCTGGAGACTCAGTGCTGGTGGTTGTGGCAAAGCTCCGAGGCTTAAAGGTCGACGCATTGCCGTATATGCAAAGGAAGCAACTGAGCTTCCAACGAACGGTGAGAAAGGATCGATTGCAGATCTGAGTTGCCATGGATTTGGAATAGGCTGGAAAGTGCGGTGCAGGAAGTGTGGAAAGTGGGGTCAGCCACCCAAAAATGGAGCTTCACTTGACTTGGGTCCGTCACAAAGAGATTCTACCTGGGGGTCTCCACAGTGGCTCATTGAGGTCTGGCATCATTGCTTTGATCTCCAGCGTGTTCGTGGTTTTTGCACTGAAGGCACCATCCGGAGCATGTTTCAGAAGACCAGCAAAACGGGGCCCAAGTGGAACAAGCATTCAGCGAGTCAGGGGTCATCTCATTTGTTGCTTTTCAGGGTATTTTTAGCTTGAAGGCCTTTCTTTGCAGTTCGTACTGTCGACTGGGGCTTTGCACGAGACCATTCAAGCGTTGTTATCGGACAAATCATAGAGCATTCAAAGACGCTTGAAGTTCTGTTCACACTCTTGTCAAGTAGACGCGCCCCAGATGGACTTGAGCAGAGTGCAGTGCCAAAATGGCCACAGCTAAGGGTATACCGTCAGGGTACCTGTAGAGGAATCGGAACAATGTTCGCTACTAGGGGCTCCTGGCATCGCTACTAGTAGCAAGGACGCTACTAGGGGCTCCTGGCATCGCTACTAGGAGCAAGGACGCTACTAGGGGCTCCTGGCCTTACTACTAGGAGCAAGTAGCTAGTAGGGGCTCCTGGCATCGCTACTAGGAGCAAGGACGCTACTAGGGGCTCCCGGCCTTACTACTTGGAACAAGTAGCTAGTAGGGGCTCCTGGAATCGCAACTAGGAGCAAGGACGCTACTAGGGGCTCCCGGCCTTACTACTAGGAACAAGTAGCTAGTAAGGGCTCCTGGCATCGCTACTATATAGGAGCAAGGGGCTCCCGGCCTTACTACTAGGAACAAGTAGCTAGTAGGGGCTCCTGGCATCGCTACTAGGAGCAAGGACGCTACTAGGGGCTCCCGGCCTTACTACTAGGAACAAGTAGGTAGTAGGGGCTCCTGGCATCGCTAGCAGGAGCCAGGACGCTACTAGGGGCTCCCGGCCTTACTACTTGGAACAAGTAGCTAGTCGGGGCTCCTGGCATCGCTACTAGGAGCAAGGACGCTACTAGGGGCTCCTGGCCTTACTACTAGGAGCAAGTAGCTAGTAGGGGCTCCTGGCTTCGCTACTAGGAGCAAGGACGCTACTAGGGGCTCCCGGCCTTACTACTTGGAACAAGTAGCTAGTAGGGGCTCCTGGCATCGCTACTGGGAGCAAGGACGCTACTAGGGGCTCCCGGCCTTACTACTTGGAACAAGTAGCTAGTCGGGGCTCCGGGCATCGCTACTAGGAGCAAGGACGCTACTAGGGGCTCCCGGCCTTACTACTTGGAACAAGTAGCTAGTCGGGGCTCCTGGCATCGCTACTAGGAGCAAGGACGCTACTAGGGGCTCCCAGCCTTGCTACTTGGAACAAGAAGCTACTAGGAGCTTTTTCAGGTCAATCGGTGCATCGACATCGGTACCCGCTGTGCCGCTCCGTCCAACTGGTCGTTGCCAATCGGCCCGGGGTTCCTCAGCAATTTAATTCATGGCAGCCGAATCGACCGATGCGAGCCACGCGACAACATCCGGAAGAGCTGCCAGGAGTTTATCAAAGGCATGAAGGAATGGGAGCAGCAGCAAGAGATGAAGGAAATGCAGCAGATGGGCGAGGAGAGGAGCTGGGCAGGAAGTGTGCAAAAATCATGCCGAACCACAGCAAGCATGTACAGTAGTTTTTGAGGAAAATCATGCAAAACAATGAAACACATAGCTGCTCACCACACAGGTTGGGCAAAAAGGGCATTCTCTTCCAGCTTGAATTGCAGTAATCTAGAATACCACAATTTTCAGAGCAGGGTCAGCAGGGTGCCATGTTGATCAAGTGTTGCCCATCTTTGCACAAAGTGTTTCCGAGCTTAGATGTACAAAACCCATTTCCTATGTCATACAACTTTATTCGCACGGATTTCAAAATAGGACCTGGAAAGACCGGGCTCCTGAACAAACCCACTTTGGCTGGGATTGTCATGCCATGCTAATCCGTCTTTTGCTATGTTTCCCACGGGTGTGCATGTTCGAGTGTTCGAGCGGCTGGCCTAACACTCGACAGAGGAGGAGAAATCGCTTTTTCCTACCACTGGTCGGTCTGTAACTGAGCAAGCTGTGGTTTGGGTACCCTAATTCTGCCCTGTCAGCACGAATTGGCCATGCTCCCCAAGATTGGACCAGGACGCGCTTTTTCTCATGTCCACGCCCGTGGATGCTACGCCTTTGGAAAAGAAGAAAGAGCGCATGAGGCATGGAAATTGGCGTCGGTCGGACGGGGCCTGGCATCGGTCATGGACCAAGAAAACAGGTTGGATCAGGAGAGACAGTTGTGAACACATTTTTCTGAGCAGCAATTTGGAATGTTCTTGTTGTGAGAAGCACATTGCTAGTCGTGAACTTTTCTTTTTGCAGATCATTTGGAAGTGCCTCATGGTTGCCTCATGGTCAGGAAGCGCCTCACACCTTTGCCGATGAGAATTATTGGAGGTGCCAGATACAAGCTTGTTTAACCAAGCAAAGTGAGCGAGTGGAAGAAGAAGAGTGACGAAGGACGCAAAAAACTCCTGTGCAGCCAACCAAGAATGCAGCACGTGGTCAGCACCAGCTGCAAGAGCTGACGATTTTTTGGTGAACCGCTGCTATATATCACTGATAGATGTGCGTTACATTCTGTTTCGCTCGGCCGTGCTTTTTCGGCCACGCTTGGTCTACCGCGGGTCCCGCGGTCTACCGCGACCTGTGAGGCCTTATGGACAAGATGTGGCTCCTGCGTGTTGGCGCATGTGTGGGGTGCGCCACCAACTGGGAGAACGCAAAAAAGAGCAACGCTGCACACCGGCTTTGGTCAGCTTCGGCGCTGGAGAGATGTTGCCCCCGGTGTGAGTAAGATTTCGATGACAAAAGGAGGACGGCCATTTAAGTCATTTAGATTTATATAGCAGGAATTCTTGAGTGACCTTTGGCTTTCAGTCACAGTATACCAGGTATGTAAAAATACATAGAAAGACACACACATAAATATATATTTTATATGGTATATTTGTCCATGCAAGTGAGATTTCTCAGAAATGTACCAAAGATGTTGGGCATGCCTCACATGCCATCAGCTCGGCTCAAAATGGGCGCGTTCCTTCAGGACATGCAATGTTTGATGGGTTTCAATGGATTCAGTTTCTTGGATGAAGAGATGAGCTTGTCAGTGGAGCTGCTGAGTGGCAAGGTTTGTGTGCTGGACATGCTGCCAAACTTCCTAACCATTTGGGCGTTGAAAGAGCAATTGAAGGCGCTCGGTGGGCAGGGTCAGCGGTGTCACGTTGAAGGACAATGTAACCATTAAAGGGTCAATGGCCCGTCGACTAGAGTATGTTCATTGGGAAGCTTTACGAATTTAATGTAGAACGAACATGGTTTTACAAGAGCTTCTTGCATCCTCTTCGGATTCCCTGGCAGAAACGGTTGTCCAGAGCACGAGAGTACGTGCCTGTAGAAAGGGCTTGCGTTTGGTGGTGTGGCCAGCGGGTAACCTTTGCTTCTGCGCGACGGCTGTGTGATTGTTGCCTGGCGAAGTTTTAATGAAGAATAGCAAAGGCTAAAGACATTGCTGGTAACAGTAAAGGCGAAGATAACGAAGACGCAAGACGCAAGATCCTTATCTTTGAGTCTTTGATCACCGTTCGCTGTTTTAGCGACGAGACTTCTGTAGGGTGACGTTCTGGTGGCCGGCAGCTGGTGGGTTTTTCAGGGCCGGCAGCTGGTTGTGCCACTGCCATGCCCAAAACGGCATGAAATGGACGCGTGTCCGTTGAAACGCTGACTGGTCCCGGCACGGCAGGTGAAACGGACACGGCGCGAGCATGTCCGGATTCTGGGAACTGTTGTAGACCAGAGTTTGGCTTCGAGCGCTGGACTGACACTGGTATGATTCTGATAAGTTCAATTCCTGACTCCTGGGGGTGTTGAGTGTAGTTCATGTGGCCGGCAAAAGACACGAGAGGGTAGACTAGGTGCAAATGGGCACATGTTTCCTCAAGTTTTGCTCAGCTGGCAGGAATTTCATCCTTCTCAAGATGAGCTCACCAGGAAATTGAGCAACGTGCAGGTGGTCCTTGACGGCAAGAAGCTGGTCGATATGGTTGTCGGGCATGGTCAAAACGGTCAAGACTCCACTACATACGCTATATAGATGCTATCCATGGTTGTTGTACGCATTGAAACATCCGGCAGTAGTTCCTTTGAGCTCCTTCCAAAGTGAGATGAGCCGCGAAAAACGGCATCACTAGTGAGCCACAATAGCATCAGAAAACGTTGAAAGCCATGGAGAACTGAACATAGCGCTGAGCTAAGCCGATCCAAACCGCCTGGCGGGCTCGCCCACGGTGTCTCCTCGGTTTGGATCCTCTCGGATGTCGGGAACAAAAACACGAACTTGCGGACAGTCAATGCTTTTTTCGCGCGCGTTTTCTCTCTCCCTTCCCAGGTTGTCTGGGGGGTAAAGGTGGGTGTGAACAGGTAACGACACATCACACTAGAAGCTATGTAGAAGGCACTACGAAGCGAAGGAGGCATTTCCCAAGACAAATAAGCAAAGTGAGACAGGTGGGATGCATCTGTATGATTCTGTATGACGTGCGTTGCCCGTATGCCAATGCAACAGCTCACCACAATCAAAGGCTAAGCGTTCCATTGTCCTGTCGGACCCAAGGAAAGCATCCTGAGGCATGAGCCAATTACAATTTATCTATGTTTTTTAGAATTTACATTAATTCGAGCCAGGATGTGGTATGTCGTCAAAGTCCTTCTTTCGAAACATTGTGCATTGTATGTGTTGGGTAAATTTATCGCGCTTGTGCGTATGGATCTCTGGCCAGTTTGGCCACGGTGGTGCTAATGCACAATCTGACAGTGGGAGTGGTTGAATTTCATTATGGAAGGGGGGGTTGTGAGGTATTTGCAAGATCATGTTTTGGATATAGCAACAGGTCTGTGGACTGGGGAGTATAGGACGCCTCGACCCCAGCTTCATGATATCGAGAGAAGCCAAGTCTAGTCAGACTCGATGCCCCCTGTTTTTTATAGGTCGGTATAAGCGGCGTTTTGGAAAAGGTCTGAATATGTTTGACAATCAATCGAAAGGTCTTCGACAGGACTCTGAGGGACCGGTGCTTGATTGGTTGGAGCTGGATCTTAGGGTCTGCATACTCTAGAGGGATGTTGGTATCTTTGTCCTTGATGCGGACTGGGAGATATCTGCCAGCCCAAAGCATGAACGAAACGGACAGTTCTGTCCACGATATGCACTTGTAGTGTTTGAAGGGGGCAAGAGATAGAACCAGAGGTTGTAAAGCACCCCTGAAGCTTCACCCCAAAGAACTAAGTTTTCCCTCCCAGCCTTTCCCCAAGGGGGATTTTGCAGACATCGAAAGTTCAAAACACATGCACCCCCAAGGAAGTTGGATGATGACGCAGAGACTATCCTTGGAGCTGGAATTACCTCAACTGCAAAACTGCAGGTGTGTGGATGGTCCAAAACTTCATGATTTGTTTCTCAGTCGACCGAGTTGCTATTTGGATGGGTCAGACCCTTTTGGTTTTACCCCAATACTGACCACCGTTCTTGCTGGAAACCCGGGTCAGCCCGCCTCCCGGCCCCCAGGGGCCCTGGCGCCCATAGGTCTTATTCACCGCGCGTCCACCTCTGAGCTGCAAGAGCATGTCCAGCTGGGAATTTCATCGCAGGCGTGATGCTCATACGTGGATTGATCTCCACATCCCAGAGACAGAAAGGTCCATTCGTGACGGTGCCTTCCAAAGATGCTCATGGATTCTACGTGTGACCATCCCCAACACAGTGAGGGCAATTGGACAATATGCCTTTTCGATGAACAGAGGATTGATCAGCTTGACGATCCCGGACTCCGTCACTCTTATTGGATTCAGTGCCTTTGACGGATGCATTTCTTTGCGTTGCTTAACGCTCCCAAAGTCTCTGAACACGATTGAAGGCTATGCCTTTTCAGGCTGCAGGTCTTTGACAAGCTTGACAATCCCCAGTTCTGTCACTGAAATTGGAGTTTGTGCATTCATGTACTGCAGCTCTTTGACGAGCGTGGTCATCCCCGACTCTGTGATGGTGATTGGAAGGTGGGCCTTCGGGCATTGCACCTCTTTGACGACTCTACAGCTACCCATGTCGCTGGAAAGCCAAGCTGAGTCTGCTTTCGTCGGCTGTAAAAACCTGCCTCGAACGTTTCAAAACCCGGCGAAGCGGCCGCGACTTGAATAGCATGTGGAAAAAAGTGGCAAGATGAAACATGGGACTCTTCAGCAGACTCAATAGAGGGTGGCAGGGGTCCCCTGTGAGTTGAATCGCTTACTGCAGTCCCCCCTTGTCCACACTCTGAGAATGCATGACTGTCATGCACCCGAAGCGACCCCGATCCAGGCCAAGCGAGCCATGCGTCTTTTTTTTGCGGCGGTGGTTTACACTCCCCGCTGAAAGTAGCGAAGTAGATGCTAGAATTGTGGAGACAGTACGACGGGCTTGATAGACATCATACCATCATACCAAGAGCTCGTGCCCCATGCCTGACAGAACCTAAGATCTTGCTGTATTTGTTTGAGATACTCATTCATAATGATTTGGAACCCACCAGCGGTCATTGTCATTCTCAGACTTAAGCATGTCGTCTCAGGTACTTGCTACCCTTCTTGAACGTGCTTGGCTTAGGAAGTTGCTCGCAATCACGCCCTCTACACAGCTTCTCAAGGAAACAAGGTGATGATGGTGATGAGGTTATTGAGCAACCGACCACAATATTGTGAGACTACGGAAGAAGGCTGCCGCCCACCCCAACTATCCAGAATTCTCTTTAACCGCTCTGACACCTTTTCATTGGAGAGACTGCTTGCAAGACAAATGTCCACTGGTCCACAACACGGAGAACCGATACAGGCCAACTTCCACCACTCGCAAGAAATAAACTCATATATGCACAACTGGGAAAAAATATATCCATCATACAGTATAACTACGTAATGTAATGTAATGTAATGTAATGTAATGTAATGGAACACAGTGCAATGTAATGCAATGCAATGTCATGTAATGTGATGTATTAATAACGGTATGTATTGATGGTATGTAATGCTATGTTATGTATGTATTGTAATTTAGGGTATGTTATGGTAGGATATGTATGTATTTGTGTGGGTATGCAATGTAATGTAATCTAATGTAGTGTAAAATAAATGTATGATGTATGTAATTTACATATTAAAAATATGTAATGACTATTGATGATGTATGTAGTGTAATTTATAGTAATGTATTGTAATGTAGTGTATATATTGTATTGTATTGTACTGTACTGTATTGTATTGTGAAATTGTACCTGACACACACACACACACATACTCTAAAAGTAAAAACACAATATATGTATATACAGTATATGCCTGCTACAAAGCTTCGCAAAGCTCGAGGCTCTTGTTGAACGTCTCTCACTCTTGAAATCCCGCTTCTACCGACGGTCAATGTGGCGCCACTTCTTGGCCGAGGCGCTGGACTTCGGCGAGATCTCCATCTCCCTCTATCCGTCCGGAGCACTCGGCGTTGGGCACGTACGTACGTACCCAAAGATCCTGAGTAGGACAGCGAAAATAAAACATCTGCAAACAAGCAGCAAGCATCCTTTGTATATCCTGAATCCTGTGTGCCCCCATTCCTGGGTATGTCGATAGACAGCCTTTGCACCAACAATGTAAGATGATCCCAAATATAATGGAACTTTGCGCACATTAAACATGCCGGAATTGAAAACATCTCCAGTAGATATGATGTTTGTTTCCGCACACAACAGGATCAGGTAGCTCCTTTACACCCTGATAGCAAACTATACGAAAGAGCACTGCACAGCCCCTTATTTTTAGAGGAGTTTTGCTCTGGCTGAAATGACCAAAACACCAGAAGAAAAGAGATAGTGCAGCTCTTTCTACAAAAAACCGTCCTCTGCAGATCTTCGGCTTGGAGCTTTAAGAGTCTTCGGCTGGGTTGCCGCGCCGAAGCTATCGCCCACTCCCTCCTGAGGTATGCGGTGGGTGTGCCACCGACGGAGCCACTGGTGAATTTCATGCAACACACGTTGAAGATGTGTGAGCCTCGAATTCTTCCTTGTGGAGGGCATCATGAAATGAGTTGACCCAGATATACGGATATGCATACCGTCATGAAATGATGGTGCTTTTTGAAAACGAAGAAACAGTGAAACAACGTTAGTTGTGAAACGGTTGCGTACGTGTGCCATTTTGGCTTCAAGTGTCCCCTACCGTGTCATTTCTTTGTGTGCTATGGAGGTGGAAGACAGTCCCCTCACTATGGGGGATGACACGGGAGGGGGACCTATAATCCTGGATGACGATGAAGAACAGCCACAAGAAAGCCTCCAAGAGCTGGCTGATAGGGTCAGAGAAGTCACCAGTATGAGGAGCTGCGATGTGAGGCTCAAAGACCCGCCAGCATCAGGCTCGCCAACCGAAGTGGTGGACGACTCTGACGTGGAGATGGTGTTCGAGAGCCCCTTGGAGGCTTTGAAGAAGCTAGCTGAACAAGCATGGCCTCAGAAGAGAGTGGCCATCCAGGAGAGTGGTGGAAGTGCAGAAGACATGATCGGTTTGGTCTTGCAGGCAGACTCCCAAGTCATGAAGGCACCCTGCCTGAGCAAAGAAGGCAACAAGGCATGGGCCATGGAGCAAGTTGAGACCAAGGCGAAGAGTGGCAGCTCGAAGGACGAGAAGCTGGAGATCCAGGCCAGCTTCAAGAAGTCAGACAGGGTGAGAATGCCATGGGACCAGGCAGAAGTGGACGACCGGCAGAAGGTGTTCGCAGGCTGGCTGGTCATCATCGACGAGGCCAGAAAATGCTGCAAGGCCGCAGAAATGATCGACCAGAGTGGTGAAGAGGTGTTGGAAGACATATTTGCCCGCAAGAAGAACGGCACCTTGCAGGTCAGACTGAGTGCAATGATGATGTATGTCAGGTGGGCACGATCAAAGGGATTGGTGGCTTTCCCGCTCACGGAGGCACAGTGCTACTGCTACGTGGATGGGTTGAGGAGAGATGGAGCTCCGGCTACGAGAGCCACCAGTTTCCGAGGAGCCCTGGCATTCTGCAAGGGGACGATCCAGCTTGAAGGTGTGGACGAGGTCTTGGAGAGTACCAGGATCGCAGGTTCATCTCACAGAAGCTATATGACCAAGCGGGTGCTGAAGCAGAGGGATGCCTTGACCGTGAACCAGGTGATGACCCTTGAAGCTGTGGTGGCTGGCCGTGAGTTCCCTATGCGAGACAGGTTGTTTGCAGGGCATTGCCTGCTCTGCGTGTATGGGCGGCTCAGGATGGGAGACAGCCAAGGGATTGAAAATGAGCCTCAAGTCTTTGGAGGATATCTGGAGGGTGGCACTGCCATCCACAAGACAGATGGACTCAGAGGACGTGCTCGACGAGTTCTTCCCGTGGTTGCACCTGCAGTTGGAGTGTCAGGCTTGGCGTGGGCTGAGGAATTTTTGAAGCTGAGGCACCTGGCAGGGCTGAAAGCCATGCCAGGGATGCCTTTCCTGCCGACACCAGTGGTAGGTGGAGGCTGGAGCAGAGCAAAGTTGGCCACGCCAGAAGCAACAGTGTGGTTGTGTGAGGTCCTTCAGAAGTACTCCGGCACCAGTTCGCTTGGAAATGTGGGAGCCCACTCGCTGAAAGCGACTGCACTGTCTTGGATGGCCAAGGCGATGGTGCATGAGAAAGTGAGGAGGCTCATGGGATACCACGTGAAGCCAAAGGACAAGAGTGTCATGATCTACAGCAGGGATGCACTGGCAGAGGGCCTGGAGACGCTCACTGGCATCATCGAGAGGATCAGGAACCTGAAGTTTCGCCCAGACGCCCCTCGCAACCAGAGATGGCAGCATGAGGAGGAGCCGGGAGCATCCACAAGCTCGCCTGGGGTAGTCCCGGACGATGAAGGGGATGAAGAAGTGATCCCTGGTGGAGAGCCAAAGTTGGACATGCTTGAGGTGCCCACTCCAGACAAGAAGATGCACCGCATCGTGAGTCTGGAGGATCTTTCAAGTGAAAGTGAAGAGACTGACGAGGAGTGCGGCGAGAGTGCACGGAACTTGGAAGCTGTCCTCAGGGCCAAAATCGGTCCTCCCAAGAAGGCGAACCACGATTTGTACAGGCATGGTTTGACAGGAACACTGCACCATGGAAGTGTGACTCCCGGAAAGTTGGCATGCGGAAGGGCCATAACTCCAGTGATGTTTAAGCCGGAAGAGGTAGTCTATGGCCTAGGGAGCTTCTGCAAGGTGTGTCAAGGATACGCCAAGTGACACCGTGCGAGTGCGAAATGGAAAAGTGCTTAGTGGAAGGAAGTGGGAAGTAATGAGTGGTGAGTAAGAAGATGAAGTAAGTGGTGAAGAGACGTCATGAAGTGCAAGTGAAGTGTCAGTGACATGGTCAATAACCTGGGGAGTCGTTCAGGTCGAGTGATGCAGGGAAGGCCTGCAAGACGGAAGTGGCACTGCGAGGACTGACGGGTCGGAGGAGTGTGTTGCGCAGTCGGACGAGTCGTAGTGTTTTGTGACCATGGCAGGCAGACAGGCATGGAAGTGAAGAGGTGGAAGCAGGTTGAGGTTGAAGTTGTCGGCATGATGAAGTGGTCGATGCGAGTGGCAAAGTAGGCTCAAATCAGGCGGCCAACGCGGTTGAGGGAGCGGCATGGCGACGTTGACTGAGTCGCAGGCTGTTTTTGAGTCGAAGTTGAAGGACATGGGGTTGGAGGGCCATCATGGCTCGAAGAGGATGGACCACCCTTTCGACCTTTGCCTTCGCCAGCAGTTGGTCCCCTGGGTCTGGAGATGATGCCAGCTTCGTAACCCAAGTGGTGGTTCCCCTGTTGGGGGGAGGAGATCACGCCGACCTGCCAAAGTTGAGAAAATTGTACCACGAAGCATACACAGTGGTGGCGGCAGAGCTCCGGTGCAGGCTGGAAGGGACCCAGGAGACAGATGGAAGCAAGACGAGGAAGCTGCCTCCAGTGGAACGTAAGACACGCTGGACGCAGATGAAGTTGACGTATGGGCATTTGCAGATGTCCGACCAGTTGGAACCAGCCCATCATGTGGTGGACAAGTGCCACTCAATGAAGGTTGAGGGTGAGCTGAGGTACCTTGCCCCCCATGAGGTGCCGACGAGGGACCAAGAGCTCCTGAACGTGAAGACCGAGGAGTTGATCAAGAAAGATGCATCGGGCC